GAAGCAATAAGGATCAAGGTCTCATCATAATATAGGTACTTGTAAAAGTATTAAGAATCTTTGAGAAATACCTAAAACAAGTCAATTATGGGGAGAGCAGGAGTTGAATGATTTGAAGACCAATATAACTCTTTTATGTAGAGGTTTTCTTTAAAGATGTTAACATTGCTTGTTTTTAGGCAATAACTTGAAAAGTTAGTCCATATTGATATTCATCATTATCCAAAAATATCAATATCTAAGATAGACATAAGGGTATATATGAAAGTATTAGCAACATTAGTAAGCGTGACCAACATATTTACAAGAAATTTGAGGCTGTTCTGACTTAAGGGACCTAGAAATTTACCCTAACGATATTAAAATACACTTGGCTATGAGGAAACATTTTTAATTAATGAAGTTCTGTTTTTGGATAGAGGAAAGTTTACCTGACCTTAGGGAAGGTTGAGATATTTGCAAGACACTAGGGTAAATTTTAGGACTAAATGCAAAATCTCTGGAGAAGGTATGGGAAGAAATTATTTGACGTTTCTTGTGAATTTTTGCTATGGTTTGATCATAAATACCATGCAAATATACTTTGTCAGTGTGTTTTGGCAATTCTTCCAAGGATACCAAGGAGTGAAGAGAAAGGAAAAAGAAAGAAAAGAAGGTTTATTTTACACTAGAAAAATGCAGTGAGGAATTTTATAACTTTCTAGCAGATTTTCTACCTCATCTCTGAGTCCACTATACAGTATTACAAAATCTTTGTAAAGACCAAAAATGCAGACTTCCAAATAGAATCAAAACATTATCCTTCCCAAGAATTTTGAGAGTAACAAAAATTTAATTCCATCATTTGTTCTAGAATTGTAACAGTTAGGGCGATTTGGAGTCTAGGAGATTGAGACACAACATAGCCTAAAGCAGAAAAGGGAATTTTTCTGCTCTCTGGAAGGACGCAGGTGCTGCTTGGCCTCAGGAACAAGTCAAGTGTAGCTAGAAAAGTACTGTCAGGACTTGCCATTCTGTCTCTGCTTTTCTCTATATATCTGCTCATTTTCTCTCTTCGTAAGTCTTCTTATTCTACATGGGATTTATCAGTTCTTTCATTCTACATCTTATAGCTGCAGTCGCTGGGAAAAAATAAATCTGCCTTGGTGATCTCTTTGGAACCATGTTCTAAAATCATGGGGAAGGGATTGACTGAACTCAGTTGGATGGATTGGCTACCACGGGACCAGTCAGCGGTTTGACCTGGAGGATGGAGGGCTAAGATTGCTTCACTTCGGGTGCAGATTAATCCACTGTAACTAGGGGAGCAGAATCATGCAACAACATGGCAGCTGCCTTGGGTACCATAAGGTTTGGCACTAGGGACAGTGGGGAGCCATCCCAGGCAAAGGAGAATGTCATGGTACTGGGCAGAAAAAACCACATATTACTAGTACCCATAGCAACACCAGGGAAAAACACATTATATCCATGATGGTCATACCTAGTTCATAGAAGGCTAGATTCTAGCCCACTTAAGTGACTATAGATATTGAGAGATGTAACTAATAGCATATCTATACCACATGAAAAAAAAAATCTTGATAGAGCAAATAGGTTTAAATGTTTGGGTTTCTTCGTAAAACCCTTTTTGAATACTCATCTGAGCCCTATCAAACTCTTGCAAGTATTTATGATCACGAATACACAGCTTATCATGTAATTGTTCTACAGTTACTTGAATAGTAGGTCTGAGTTCCTAGCTCAACTGTAGGTGTCTTGTCTTATGCTTCCTTTTACTAGAAGACTTCTGCACCAAGATCAGTGTTAAGGACATAATTTATTCCACATTCATTCCATAAATGATTCTTGAGTGCCTACTAATTTCTAGGCAATATATTCGATGCTCAGGCCACAAAGATGATCCTTAATGAGAGCACATGATTTGATATCTTTTGTCCCTATCACACTTGACATAGAAATCTAGTATGGCCAGATCTGATCTAGCGAGTGAATCGCTTCTCCAAATACCAATAGTGTATCTAGATGCAGTTTAGTTTGCCTATCCAGAAAAATCAGAATTTTCCTCCCTTTTAAGCCGAAAGGCTATTAATGCAAATCCAATTGAATTTGCATTTGATTACATTTCTGATGGAAACATTCATATGCAAATGAAAATTCATGCAAAGATAGCCAGATAATTCAGATACTTGCTGAAATATCAAGATAAAATTAGCATGATATTAAATGTACATCCATCCATGTTTACTAGATTACACTCAGGATCTTCAAGTGGGACAGTGTTCTTGAAAAACTTAAATTGTGTCTTAAACATTTGACAATGTTCAAGTAGATCTGGATTTAGAGAGTTGCTATTACCTTACTATCTACTGCCACAGTGCTGAAAAAGAAGTCAGTCCCTGGTCAGATCAGTCAGGTTGTTCAAAAAAGGTTCATCTTGGACCCACGTTTTGTCCCCTTTGTCTTTTCTTGCGCTTAAAACAAAAGGTGACTTTTGATAGAACTGAAGTCATTTTGATGATCCAAAATGATGAACAAATATTTTGTGCAAGCTGGCAATTCCTTCATACCCCATAGTGACTTAATGGCGCGAGTTAAATGACACCATCACAATCACCACCAATACGTATCCTTTGGAAAACATCCATGACAACATGGACAGACCAGAGGGAAAGTGATCCTAATCAATGTCCGCATTCTTCTAAGAAAAGACTTAAGCAAAATTTCAAGATATAAAATCTTAATCCACTATTCCACATTCCAAACCTACATTTGAGGAAGTGCAGATCTTGGAATCAGACCATTGCTCTTGTTAAAATTAACAGAAGTTGAAGTGGCAAAAGAGAAAAGCTTGAGATCACCGTATTCAGAGAGTTAGCACTTAGTTTAATAGTCTACAAAGTGTAATGCTCCCCAAGTTTATTTTATTTGATCCAGTGTATTCATTCATATTTTCAAATCTTTTTAGAATTCCCATGCTTCCTGGTGTGGTGAATGTCCCTTACCATCCATCAAATTCAAAAAGCCTGAACCTAAGGGAGGGCCTTAGCCTTTCCCTCCTTGGCTCACCCAATCTTTCTCCAAATCTAACAATCTTACTTTTTAAGTATCTCTCAAATCCAGCCACTTCTTATAGTCTCCATCACCAGTTCTCTAACTTTTATCATTTGCCTAATCAATGGCAAGAGACTCCTAACTGGTTTCCCAGAATCTACTTTTCTCTTCCTGCATTCCCTATCATACTGTAGCCAGAGTTGTCATATTAAAATGCAGGTAATCTATAATTTCATCCAACCATCCTCTCTGCCTAATACCCTTCAATGGCTTCCTGTTTCTCTTAGAAGAAAACTCAAATCCTTAACAGGGCTAGCACATGCTGCAGGGTCTAGTCCCTACCTTCCCCTTCACCCTTGCATCACGCTGCTTCCCTTTCTCTCCACACTCTAGCAGTCCTTTCAGATCCCGAAATGCTCCATTTTCTTTCTAGTCGCCACTGCTGTACCCCAGCTTCTAAAGTTAGTTAACTTTGTGCTTCTCAGTTAAGGCTTTTCTGATCTTCCACACTCCATCAGGTCCCCGTCAGGTCCCCCTGTTACTTCTGTAGTACAACCGTACAGCTTTCTTTCATAACACTTATTTGAGTTTGTAATATTATATCTACTTTTTGAGACAATATCAGTTGTATTGATCATTCTCATGGCTTCCTAAAGAATGAGGCTGGATCTGTTTTTTGCTTATCAAAACAAGGCGTGATGCCTATCTCATACCAGGCATTCAGTAGATACTTGTTGATTAACGGAAGGTTCCACTTTCTGTTCTTCTCATAACATTTCATAACAGTGAAAGCCAAAAATAAAAATTGACTGGCTTGCTTGAACAACACCCTGCCACAGATTGCCAGGGAGAATTAGGATGGCAAGTACTATAATATCTTTTATGACAGAGAAGGTGAGATGATGAATATAGTGGAATCAAGGTTAACTGTTCTCAAAAACTATGAAAGTAGGGCCCCACCATTAATTGTACTAGCAAAAGACTTTTCTTCACTTACTTCTGGTAGACAATAATGTGGCAGCCACTCTCCCAACACTGTCTTATGCATAAGTTTCTACTTAGGATGTTTAAAGCCACAACTTATTTCAGAAACATAGCTAGTGGTTTCTAATATACAGTCTTGGGACAAGAGTTGCTAAAGTTGATTTACAACTATCATTCATGTCATGGGAATAGAGTCATAATTACAAAAGTTAAAAATCATATCGAAATCACACTGCAGCATAGCCAGTTTCTTAACTCCGTCTGTTACTTTTTTATTTCTATCAGTGTGAGCTTTATTTTATTTTCAGCAGCTTTAAAATACTGAGCTAAACATTGAAATTTTAAGGAAGGATAAACTCCCACATTCCCTGATTTTTTAACAAAGTCCCATTATTATCTCTCTAGGAATATCCGTCCTTTCTCATCTCTCTCGGACTGGGTGGTCCTGGCGGTCTGTGATGTTCAGAGACTGGAGGGTTAAAAGCTTATTTTTAGCAACAGGATGTATACGTGGTTAGGAACATTAAGTGTAGTGGACTATAAAAAATTAATTATACCTTTCTTAAAAGAAAAGGAAGTTTTATATAGACTACTAAAGTAGCTTTGAGTTCATATTATCTCTCATGTTTATGGATCTGAGACTATAGTTCTGTTTTTTTTTTAATTTTCCCTGAAAAACATTAAAAAATTTCTTTGATTCTTTGTGAAGCACGCAGACTAGTATTCCAAGAAGAGGAAAATAAAATATACTTATTTAACTTAAAGTGTCCTCTCTTTTTGCATATATTATGAGAATAAGCATTCAATCAATAACTGGTCATCTGCAACACTTCCTACAAATAAACTAGGTATTTGTAATCTTTTTGCAAGTCTATGTGTCTTACTAACAATGATGTAGGCAGACCGAGGCTCCTAGGAAGAAGGCCCTGAAAAGACATTTCTTCTCCTTTTTACCATTTCAGTTAAGAATGCAAATTGCACATCAGACTTTGAGGAATACTTTGCCAAAAGAAAACTGGAGGAACGCGATGGCCATGCAGTCAGCATCGAAGAGTACCTTCAGCGCAGTGACACAGCCATCATTTACCCAGAAGCCCCTGAGGAGCTGTCTCGCCTTGGCACGCCAGAGGCCAATGGGCAGGAAGAAAATGGTGAGGCTGTAATTCATTTTTAGCCACGACGCTGACCTCTGCAGCTGTTACAATTACAAATGCACTACATGCCTGGGTGTTTACCTTAAAATTTGAAGAACAGCTGCAGAGGCATGGAATTTCATGAGCAAAGATTAGAACTGTAATTTTAGGGTATTGTGAAATTTTTTTTGTCAGCAAATTTGTGTCATCTGTACATCCAATAAAGAACCAGAACAATTAGAGCCTATTTCTAAGAGATAAAAATATCTACATTGATTCCTATCTTTCCAAAATATTTCACTTTTGAGGAAAACAAAAAAGTTTAGAGATACTGACCCTAACCTTTGTTCTTCTTTACCGACACCTGAAAAGCTCCTTCACCCCATGACTCCCTGAGTCATATGTGACTAAAGGTTTACTACAAACTGTCAGTCACCTAAAGAGAATCTCCTCATTTATCAGCTGTTTAAATTTCCCCCCAAATGCTCCAGTAATTAATTAATTTTCCAGCACAGTGTGAGCTGATTTCGACAAGTCTGCCCTGGGTGTGCAAGGGGACTGGTGTGCGTGGAGGCCGCGTGCGCCTGTGGCACTCTCGTGGAGCAGATTGCAGTGATTCCTGTCATACCATCCCGGGCAGTCAGCCCATTAGCTGCCATTGATTTACTGACCTTTTGGCCTGCTTCTCTCCCTCTCGTCTCTCGGCTACAGACCTGCCACCTGGAACTCCAGATGCTTTTGCCCAACTGCTGACCTGCCCCTACTGCGACCGGGGCTACAAGCGCTTGACATCACTGAAGGAGCACATCAAGTACCGCCACGAGAAGAATGAAGAGAACTTTTCCTGCCCTCTGTGTAGCTACACGTTTGCCTACCGCACCCAGCTCGAGCGGCATATGGTGACGCACAAGCCAGGGACAGATCAGGTGGGGGGTTGGTTTTAAGTGATTTCTTTCTATAATAACCCCTTAGAGAAACGATATTGCTTTGATTGGCAATCATTATTAATTTTTCATGGCATTTTGAAGATGCAGATCTTTTAATGGTAATAGCTTTAATTGAGGTCTAAATGATTTTTTGATGGTCTCTTCTAATATGATTTAATAGTCTTATGTTCACGATCGAATGAGTGTGTTAATTTCTAATTTAGAAATTTTATTTGCACTTTAGTTTCATTTTTATGTTCCACAAAAAGTGAATGAAATTGTAGCTTTTTAATTATACATTATTAAACATCTCAGCAATTTTAATTCCATTTTTCACCTAGTTTTACTTAGATTTTTTTTTTTGTATGAGATCTAAGTCATAGTAAAAGAAGTGTGCATTTTTTCATTTGTCACGTAACATCTTCAATTACTTAGACTATTTTTACAAGCTGCTCCTAGTTTATGAAATTTCATTAAGTGTTTCAAAGAAAATAAAAAAGCCTCCAATATATGTGCATATCTATATAAAATAAACTGGATTAATACTAAAATGTTGGATATGCAATAAAAATGATCCCTTTCTGATATGCATATTTGTTACTAAATGTTAAAATTGCTCTGCCTCTTTCGGCTTACTTGTGTTAAAAATAAAAACTCTGTCTTAAACAGCATAGCATCTTAAATCCTTAAAATGATTGAATAGGATTGATTCATAGTGTCCCTTAAATGTTTTAGCAAAACTGCTCTTTCTGTCCTCCTGGGAGAATTGACTGCAGATTGCTATTATGAGGTGTTCATATGGTAACAGAAATGGTGTGCCTTAAGCCCCAATAACTGGCCCAACAGATCTGGAATCACCCGTAAACCTTGACACCATATCTGTTTTTAAAATTATCGAACAGGATATTGTCTAAAATTCTTATGTTTCTTTCTTATGGGCTTTATTTTCTTTGAATAAGGAAAATGAGAATAAGCAAACACGATCCAGCAATGGCGATGATACTATATTATGGAATTTTACTATTTTAAGAAAACAGCTCATGTAAATCATTTCATTTATATCTGATTGAACTTGTCACCTGAATGTTTTTCCAAGTTCAGTTATAAAAACTATGCTTGCATAGTTACACTTATGTAACAGTTTCTCTCCCCTTGCTTATATGCACAAAAACTCTAGGAAAAAAAACCAAGCCCAGATATTTATCTAGCATAACCGCTTTAAATTTCACATGCAGAAGTGTGATTGTGTTGGCGCATTATGAATGGTAGCTTTGGTGTTGAAAAGTCCCCTCATTTGCTCATGGCATTTACAATTAGTAAATTAAAATGATTGTATCATATTAACAGTGGCACAACTAAAGTTTATAGTAGTCCTCTGAGGACTGTGGGGGGAGACAAAGCAGCTGTTGCTGTTTGTTTATGCAACTCAGCAACATATGAGCACTGGTCCCTCAATGGCGCTCGGCGGGCTGGGCTCTGCTTGATCTTTGAAGGTTGCTGCTGTTTGAACAAACCTCCCTGTGTCCCATGTAACACCATCTGTCTCACTAGGAATGTGGGAAGATTCAGCACACCCTAGCAGTTGTCATACCGTTTCTGTGCTGTCTTTTTGCAAAAGGCTTTTGTGTCATTGCTGCTTGAAAAAGGCTGGCCTCCTACCTTGAGCATCCAGAGTGGATGACTGTATTTCTTTCTTTTCTTTTTTCTTTTTTTTTTTTCAGAATTCTAAGTCACAGTGCTTTTGTTCCCTTGTTCAAAAAGGTCAGCTGTGTTTGATTATATCTTTGCTGCTTTTAACTTGTCTTTTCAGCAAACTTTTTGTCTTTTTCATCCCTACTCCCTAGCACACTACTAAAAAGGAAAATGACAAGTCGGTGAAGTCTTTCCTACTGGCCTGTGATAAAACTGCTCAAGCAGCTCTAACCTAAGATGTTGTCTGTTACATTTGATAATGAGTCAGATCTTACATGCAACATCTCAGGGAAAACAGAGTTTATATTTGCTACTAGCATAGTGAATGGGGTATTTAAACATGCTTATCATGTAATGAAATAGTTATAGTCAAGGATTTTTAAATTTATGTGTGTGGGGCTTTTTTTCCTTCTTTAAAACTGGTATTCCTTCATTATAAGATATACTTTTACCTCAGTCCAGAAAATATGATAAAATGAGTTATTTGTGTGGGGAGTTTTTTGGGGAGACTATTTAGGATTTTGAGGATAATATTAATTTTTTTCCTTGACAAAACAGTTGCATTCCAATAGGGAATCTTCAGATTTTAGAATTTGCAGTAAACACAGAGAACCACAAACATCTTTGCAATGATGCTTTCTCATCTGTAACGGCTCAAAGAAACATTCTGGAAAAGAGACTACAGAGATAATCCTAAAGCAAGTGTTGGATGCGCATGTGAAAGCACTTTTTTTTTATTTGTTCCAATTTTATTGCCAACATTATCACTTTTATTGCAACTCTGAACGGCTGGGCAAATAAATAAACATGCACTCAAACCTTTTGGCCTGTCTGAAAATAGAGGCCTTTTACAAATATTTGTAACAAATTTCCTTTGTTCCTCCTGCACAAAACTGATGTCAGTCTTCCTCCTTTTATAGCACCAAATGCTGACCCAAGGAGCAGGTAATCGCAAGTTCAAATGCACAGAGTGCGGCAAGGCCTTCAAATATAAACACCATCTGAAAGAACACCTGCGAATTCACAGTGGTGAGTAACAGAGGGGCTGGTGCTTACATTTGCATTTTGTTTCATTAGGGGCATTTTTAAAGATCGTGTAAAATTTACACAATCCTGTATGTAGTTTTTTGGATCTACCCATTTATGTCACAAGCTATGTGCACCTGCTTTGTCATCGTGAGACTTATGGTACCACCAGTAGCACTACTAATAAGAAGAGGAGTGCTTATACTTCTTGAAAATTGCAAATGCTTTGATCTATTGTGAAATCTAGAGGCTCCTTTTTGTCCTTTTAAAAACTCTTCTACAGATTAAATGTTTTGACCTGAAGAAACTCAGCTGGCAAATTCTGAAGGATATTCATTTTTGATACCCAACCTTGAAAGAAGAATGTGGGAGAATTTTGGAAAAGAGCTTTTGTATGATAAGTGTTCCTTGATTCCTGAGAGCTGTATATTACAGAACAACAACCTACCACTGAGATTTCTTCTTTATAACTATTTTGATAGCTCTGCCAAGCATTTTATTACCAAATTGGATGCTATTCAAAGGACTAGTTGGATTGGTAGAGTCAATGGAATCTTCACAGAGTTGATTAAAGCCATGGCTACACTTCCCTTTGAATACTGTGACATCTTTATCGTGCTATTGACCACACATTAATCTGACACTCTGTTTAAATAGGAGGCCGCCGATGGCAAGACCAGATTTGGGATCTTGGCTGAAAAAGGCACAGATAGCCCTCACCTTCCACTGCTAACATCTTGAATTATGTCCTTCCAGGGTAGATAAAGCCCTGAAACAGTGATAGCCACATAATTCTAATCTAACCACCAAGAACGTAGAGGTGCCCCATTGTGTTCCTTTCCTTTGGTTGCACAGATTCTTGCCTTGGTAGACAACTGCAGTCGTTACCCAATCAAAAAAATGTAACGTCAATTTTAATTGTCATTTTAGGTGAAAAACCGTACGAGTGCCCCAACTGCAAGAAACGTTTCTCCCACTCTGGTTCCTACAGTTCACACATCAGCAGCAAGAAATGTATTGGCTTAATCTCTGTAAATGGCCGGATGAGAAACAATATCAAGACGGGTTCTTCCCCTAATTCTGTTTCTTCTTCTCCTACTAATTCAGCCATTACCCAGTTAAGAAACAAATTGGAGAATGGAAAACCACTTAGTATGTCTGAACCAACAGGCTTACTTAAAATTAAAACAGAACCACTAGACTTCAATGACTATAATAAAGTTCTTATGGCCACACACGGGTTTAGTGGCACTAGTCCCTTTATGAATGGTGCCCTTGGAGCCACCAGCCCTTTAGGAGTTCATCCGTCTGCTCAGAGCCCAATGCAGCACTTAGGTGTAGGGATGGAAGCCCCTTTACTTGGATTTCACACAATGAATAGTAATTTAAGCGAGGTACAAAAGGTTCTACAGATTGTGGACAACACAGTTTCCAGGCAAAAAATGGACTGCAAGGCTGAAGAAATTTCCAAGTTGAAAGGTTATCACATGAAGGATCCATGCTCTCAACCTGAGGAACAAGGAGTTACTTCTCCTAATATTCCACCCGTAGGTCTTCCAGTAGTGAGTCATAATGGTGCCACTAAAAGTATTATCGACTACACGTTAGAAAAAGTCAATGAAGCCAAAGCTTGCCTCCAGAGCTTGACTACTGACTCAAGGAGACAGATCAGTAACATAAAGAAAGGGAAGCTACGTACTTTAATAGATTTGGTCACTGATGACAAAATGATTGAGAACCACAACATATCCACTCCATTCTCCTGCCAGTTCTGTAAAGAAAGTTTTCCTGGCCCCATTCCTTTGCATCAGCATGAACGTTACCTTTGTAAGATGAATGAAGAGATCAAGGCAGTCCTACAACCCCATGAAAACATAGTCCCCAACAAAGCCGGAGTTTTTGTTGATAATAAAGCCCTCCTCTTGTCATCTGTACTTTCTGAGAAAGGAATGACAAGCCCCATTAACCCATACAAGGACCACATGTCTGTACTTAAAGCATATTATGCTATGAACATGGAGCCCAACTCTGATGAACTGCTGAAAATTTCTATTGCTGTGGGCCTTCCTCAGGAATTTGTGAAGGAATGGTTTGAGCAACGAAAAGTCTACCAGTACTCAAATTCCAGGTCACCATCACTGGAAAGGAACTCCAAGCCGTTAGCCCCCAACAGTAATCCTCCCACAAAAGACTCTTTATTACCCAGGTCTCCTGTAAAACCTATGGACTCCATCACGTCACCATCTATAGCAGAACTCCACAACAGTGTTACGAATTGCGATCCTCCTCTCAGGCTAACAAAACCTTCCCATTTTACCAACATTAAACCAGTTGAAAAATTGGACCACTCCAGGAGTAATACTCCTTCTCCCTTAAATCTTTCCTCCACATCTTCTAAAAACTCCCACAGCAGTTCTTACACTCCAAACAGCTTCTCTTCTGAGGAGCTCCAGGCTGAGCCTTTGGACTTGTCATTACCAAAACAGATGAAAGAACCCAAAAGTATTATAGCCACAAAGAACAAAACAAAAGTTGGCAGCATAAATTTAGACCATAACAGTGTTTCTTCGTCATCTGAAAACTCAGATGAGCCTCTGAACTTGACGTTTATCAAGAAGGAGTTTTCAAATTCAAATAATCTGGACAACAAAAGCGCTAACCCAGTGTTCGGCATGAACCCATTTAGTGCCAAACCTCTATACACAGCTCTTCCTCCACAAAGTGCATTTCCTCCTGCCACTTTCATGCCACCAGTCCAGACTAGTATCCCTGGGCTACGACCATACCCAGGACTGGATCAGATGAGCTTTCTACCACATATGGCCTATACTTACCCAACTGGAGCAGCTACTTTTGCTGATATGCAGCAAAGGAGAAAGTACCAGCGAAAACCAGGATTCCAGGTAATGAGACATATCTTTTTGCTTCAGAGAGAGGAGGTGAAAATTATATCTTTTATGTGTATGTAGGAAAAACATCTTAGTGAAAAGAATCTAGTGCTGTGTTCTCAGCAGAAATAGAAGAGTGGGTTTGGACTTGAATCTAAAACTGAGTGAGCTCCACAAATAAACGGAGAAACAGTGGAACACTGTGCTACGTAAGCACTTTTGCCTTAAGAAAGATAAAGAACTTAATATTTATTTTTGAGATTTATTTGGATTGATCCATCTGCTTTCAGAATTATACATTGATATGAATATTTGGTAGCATTTACATAGATGCTAAAAGTTAACATTTATGACAGTCACAGACTTCTAGAGACGCTCACAGCTTGCAATAATGCATGTATAAATTTGATGTTCACTTCATTTTATAGTTTATTTGGAAGAGCATTTTAAAAATATTTTGTACATTCCACACGATTTCCTTTGTAGGTTTCAAGCTAGTAAATAATTTATGGTTTTTCAAATACAAAAGCAGGTATGTTCTAACATCACGGAGTATAATCCCTGTTTGCAAAATAGAAGTGAAAGTAGCAGGGCACCTCTGTAACAGCTGTTCCGGTATTCCAATTTACAGTACATCTGCCCTCTTTGTAAATGTATTTAAGCCTATTTAATCTTCTCTAGTATTAATTAGTGCAAACGTAGCCTAAGAAAACTGAACTGTGGGCTAGCAAATGGAAATGTATGTTATCATGCAAGTTTGCACTCCTTTGGATCAAGACAAAATAAATATCAAGAAATTTAATAATTTACTGATCCACATTCATTATTGCTCAGCGCTGAAGGCTGTTTTAACATAGATAGAACATTGATAAAAAAGTGTTATTAATATTCCCTATTTCAAATTAGAAAATTAAATATAAAAATATAGCTTGAGGCCTTTAGTTGGTAGACATACATTTAAATAGATTGCATAATAATAACATTTTGTACCTAAATATAAAATTCAATTAAAATGGGGTTTCCGCAGCTATGGATCATTCCTAAAGTTAAGCACGCTGGAAAATACACAAATTCTGATGTTTAATTCTCACTCACAGGTATTTCCTGATAGGAAGAGAATTCAGGAATTTGGGAGAGTTTATGTTTTTCTCACCTTCAGAGTTGACCATTTTCTATCCCTGAAAAACAGCAAGCTCTACCACCTAGGGCAGAGAAGGTTTATATTTTTGCTGAAATGTGAAACCTCATATATTGTTTGTGGAAAGTAATAGTTTTTAAAAACTAGATCGATCCGTCGCTAGCACCTCTGAGGTTCTCCAAATGTCAGCCGATGCGAAGTTGTTTGGTACAAACACAAAGAGAAGCAACTGTGTTGAACTATGTGATTATATCACAGGGAGAATTGCTTGATGGAGCACAAGACTACATGTCAGGCCTAGATGACATGACAGACTCCGACTCCTGTCTGTCTCGAAAGAAGATCAAGAAGACAGAGAGTGGCATGTATGCATGTGACTTATGTGACAAGACATTCCAGAAAAGCAGTTCCCTTCTGCGACATAAATATGAACACACAGGTATGAGTGACTTTGACTAGCTAGTTAGAGCTTCCCGGCCTGCTGTACATTTCATAATATTTAATGAGTACACTTGTGCAACATAAGATGTAGCATATGCTGATACCTTCAACAAGGAAGAAATAATGCTTTTGCCTAGCTCAGTGGGACTTTTTCGTTGCCTGTTTATTGGATCATTCATGTGTTTATCAGTGTGCTTGTCTTATATTTTTTGAGTTAGTCTTACACCAAATTCACAAATCATGTCAAAGATATATTTAAATGGCCAGGGCAGTGAAATGACATGACACAAGCCAGCTATTGAAAATATCTTCAAATTCTTAAGCTGTGATGAACCTGTATATGGAAAAATTTAACAATAAAAAATTCAGTCAATGCTGTATTCGTTTCATCATCGAAACATCAAGGAAGCCACGATTTGGGGGTAACTCTGTTTGGTTTTCATAAGTTGGCCATGTTTTGAATAAACTAAAAGCATTAGGACTGTGAAAGAAAAGACATAAAGTGGATAATAGGCCAAATGAGCTACTGGAATTACTAATATTTGGAAGACTAAAATACAACTTTCTAAATTTAAATAGTTTCTTTCCAATTCATGCATTCCTCATTAGGAAGCGTTGACAAGATAGCAGCCTGATTCTTCCCCATAAGGAGAGAAGTAATGAGTTAATTTTTCAAAAGAAAGCTGAAGTGCCATAAGGTGAAGCAATATTAGTTCCCACAATCCAAGATCTGATCTGCAACTGCGTGCTGGAGCTACGCCTGTGTTCCCTCCCTCCCCCTCCTTCCACCCTTAACCACAGAGTAACTCGGCTTCATCCCTGTTCTTAACCCATCTCCAGCTTTTCTCCAGTAGAAATTTGGCATGCTGTACTGGCCCTAAGTGGGAAAAGAAAGAATGTAGGATCGCAACCAAAGTACTGATGGGCGGAAATTATAGGAAAATTCTCATTTTAACCAAGATGTCTAGTATCAAACATTTTAATATAGGGACTTCCCTGGCGGTCCAGTGATTAAGACTCCGCCCTTCCAATGCAGGGGGCGCGGGTTCGATCCCTGGTCAGGGCACTAGGATTCCACATACCTCGCAGCACAGCCAAAAAATAAAATAAAATGAGCTTTGAAAAAATGTTTTTAACATAGAGGAAAAAATTAACCTAACATTAATGCTCTTTGGGGAAAAGTAATGAAGAGGCAAAAAAGAACAAGAAAAAAGAAGAAAAGGGAATGTGAATACCTCCTGTCACAGTTTGTCTAAATACGTAGCACCCTTTTTAGTGACTGAAAACCATCCTTGGGAAGCCTTTGTACTGATCACTCTCCCTTATTCCTCACTGGGCATGTGAGGGAGGCAGTACAAGTGACCACAATCACCTGAGGGTCAGGGAAAGTTGGGTGAGTCCTACAACGTTAAGTGTTGAGGGTATTTGTAAAAAGAACAAGGTTGATTAATAACAGCGCTCTTATTCCAACCAACCCAGTTTTCTTTTCCTTCAGTTGTCTGATACTAATTGCTATGATTTCAAAAGTTCAACTAATGATACTTTTAAAGCAACCTAATTTGAATAGCAAATCCCAATAGTTTTTACACTTGTTTGGTAAAATTCAATGTTTGAAACATCACAGTTTTCTTACATTTGTCTTTTTTTTTTAATTTATTTGTTTTTATTTTTGGCTGCGTTGGGTCTTTGTTGCTGCGCGCAGGCTTTCTCTGGTTGCGGCGAGCTGGGGCTACTCTTCGTTGCGGTGCGCGGGCTTCTCATTGCGGTGGCTTCTCCTGTCGCGGAGCACGGGCTCTAGGCACGCAGGCTTCAGTAGTTGTGGCTCGCGGGCTCCAAAGCGCAGGCTCAGTAGTTGTGGCGCACGCACGTAGTTGCTCCGTGGCATGTGGGGTCCTCCCGGACCAGGGCTCGAACCCGCGTCTCCTGCGTTGGCAGGTGGATTCTTAACCACTGCGCCACCAGGGAAGTCCCTGACATTTGACTTTTATGATAGATATCAATAGATGTTTTCTTTAGTACCAAGTCCTATTTTTGTATTATAGATTAAAGATATTTTCATACCTAAATTTACTTTAATATCTTAATCAACCTCAAATATATTTTGTATTCATTATTCAACTACAATAGGCACATCATTGAAGGCATCTTTCCCTCTCTGATTGGTTTTATTATATGACCATATGCAAACTCTACCGTTTACTACATGGTGAGTGTAAAACTTTTATTTTAGTGAGGGCTGTCATACATATTGACATCCAGTCAGTATCTTTATTTCTTATAAATTAGTCTATAAACTTCAAGGTGTATAGATAGTTAAGAGACCCCAAAGTTGACAAATGCAAATATGCATAATCAATTTGAAAAATATACTGTGCTAAAAAAAGATAAAATATTCTGGTCCTTTAAGATGTGAGATCAGCTGCCTAGAAATATTGCCTAGCAACAAGATGCTAACCATCCAATGGTTTCTCTAAACATGTGATTAATTATCCTCCTGTTGGCTTCCCAGCTTGTCAAGTTTCCAGTGTGTTAACTTTTTGGTCTCCTGACCAAATATCTCATGACATTACTATCTGTCAGTTATTAGGTTCCATCAAAGTGAAGTTCTTCATGAATTTTCTATCAGTACGATATATGTGGAAATTTAGTTCATTTTCCTTCCCTAATTGGGCCCCACAAGCCTTTTATTTGTTTATATTAAGCACTAGTAATACTTTGAGAATGTGTTAATATGAAAATTATAAGTGAGAACAATCTTTGGGTTGATTGATTCTAAGGTTGGGAAATGAAGTTGAATGGTCATTTGATTACGTGTTGATTACGAATGTGTCATTGATAAAGTGTGTTTGTTACATCTGTCTACAATTTAACATATAGAATAGTTTAAATTATGAAGGAAATTATGAGCTACTTATTCTCGAGATCCTGTGCTCTTTTACCTCGGTCTGTTTAATTTATTTCCTAGGCAGACACCAAAGATACAATGCTTAATTCTCCTTACCAATAGCTCATTGATTGCTTGCTTTTCCTGGGAACCGGGACTGGGACAGAGGAAGGAAACACTACATAAATGTTGATTTCAATAGGATTAATTGTCACAAACAAGGACTGTGAAATGAACAATCTGAAACTCCTGTTAGGCACTGTAAAGCACTCACTTATATTCCACTAAAATTTAAATCTGACATTTATTGAGTACTTTCTCTATTGAGACATTGCAGTAGGTGCTCTTAAACCCACTTTATTTAGAAAAGTAATAAAAATGTTTCTACTTTTGAGTGAAGTCAGAGTTTCAAATAAATTACCAGCCAATTTTGTTTCTCAGGTACATGGTAATATTTTTCATACCGCAAACCTTTCATTTATTAACTTCAGTTATCATTCTAGCTGTCAGGTGAATCATGAATCTTGATATTAGAGAAAAAATCTTACCCTGAAAAAGTTTTGACTCACTCAGTATCAGTTTGGATGATTTTTTCTGCATCTTGTTCATGTGGAAATTTAATTCCAGGACATCTTGATTTGAATCAGGTAAACCGATCAAACAAGTTAAAAAGAGATAAATGACGAAGTAAGTTCCTATTTAAATTGAATTTATTAAATGCTTACCAGTGAAATTTCTGGAGATGAGTAGAATATTTAGTGCAAGGCATAGGTCAACACTCCTGCTTCCCAGTTCTGTCCTTTGTATGGCATAATAGCTGAACATTTTATTCTTTTAGGTTGTCAGTTCATAGTGTAGAATTAATGTATTTCAATATAAGCATATTATTTATTATCAAAGGAATTTCCTGAAAATCAATTGCCGGTAGCCATCGAATATCTGTATCTTAGACTGCAGGTCAGTGGGCATCCCCCAGGCATTTCTAACAGGCCTTGAACTTGTCCTTGAGAATGCTCCTTCTCTCTCGGGATGCTGCTCTGTGTTTTGTTCCTTTGGAAAAGAGAAAGCCACATCAACTGTGATGTTCATTCAAAGTTATTCACACGCTGATCCACGTAGTTACCTAACTGATAGACATTTTTGTGCTCTTGAGCTGCTGAGACATTTAGGGAGGTGGTAGGACGGTTCTGCCCACGTGTGCTGTAGCAGCTAAAGAACCAGGAAAGTTTTAATCTGCAATTTCTCTTCTCTCCACTCAGATTCATTTCATCCATGTACTCTGCTCCTGATACATGCATCTTGCTTACGACTTGGGAAATTATTGAACATGTATTCATAAATACAAATAAAAATATGAAACATTCATCGAGTGCTTACTATGTGCAATCCTTGTGCTAAACACTTTACCTACATTGCCTCCTTTACTCCTTATGTCCAGTCTACAAGTTAGGTCCTCAAATAATTTCCGTTTTACTGACAAAGACCCTGATCCCTGGAGAGGTTAACATGCCTGAGACTGCACAGCTGGTCATAAAAGATGGGTTTGAACCCAGGCAATCAGACTCTAGAACCCATCTTCCTTATCTAGCACTGCACCACCCTGCCTCTGTGACTGAACTGCCACTGTCAGAAACATCTTATCCTAGCTCCTGATAGCATTTTTTTAAAGGTCCAAGTACACACAAGAGAGAGCAAATTCATATACAGCGACTTGAGATTTTTCGGGAAGGCAAAACCTCTGTCTTTT